AGGGAGGGCTGAGGAGTTAGAGGAAGAGGAGGAGAAGGAGAGAGAGAGAAACAGATCTTCCATCTGCTTGTTCATTCACCCAGTAGCTGAAGCTAGAAGGCAAGAGCTCCATCCATGTCTCCCATGTGGGTGGCAGGAATGCAAGTATTTCAGCCATCATCTGCCACTTCTCAGGTGCATTAGCAGGAAACTGAATGGAAAGAAAAGCGGCCAGAACTTGAACCAGCACTCAATAATGGATGCCAGCTTTGCAAATAGCAGTTTAACCTTCTGGGCCACTAGGTGGGCCCCTATTAATATCTCACCATAGAAAGTTCTCTAATCCATGAGCATGACGGTCTTGCCATTTACTTTATGTCTTTTTTCACTTCTTTCAGCAATGTTTTATAGTTTCCATCATACAAACCTATCATTTTCTTAGATAATCCCTAAGTATTTTATTCTTCTCATGCTATTATAGATGGAATTACTTTCTTAATTTCCTTTTCAAATTGTTCATTGTTAGTGCATAAAAATGCAATTGATTCTTGTATGATGACTTTGTACCCTGTTCCAAATGCATTTTTTAATTCTAAACTTTTTTTTTGGTAGAAACTTCAAGTTGTATCATCTAAGAGCAGACATAACTTACATATTTTCCAGATTGGATTTCTTTTTTCTTCTTTTCTTTCTCTTGCCTACATGTTCTAGCTAAAACTTCTGGTGGTATGTTGAACAGAATTAGCAAAGCAGGAATCTTTGTCTTTTTCTTGATCTTCGAGGAAAAGCGTTCACTCTTTCACAACTGAGTATGTTTGCTGTGGGGTTTTCTTATATGACTATCACAATGCTGAAATAGTTTCACACTATTCCTAGTTTGTTGAGGTGGTTTTTTATTTTATCATGAAAGGTTGTTGCATTTTTTTCTTTAATCAATTGAGATACCCTTCATTGTGTTGCTGTGTTTTACAAGGATTAATTCTCATAGCTGGACCATTTTTGCATCCTGGATTAAATCCCACTTGGTCCTAGCATAGAGTCCTATTAATGTGCTCATGGACTTGGTTTGCTGCTATTTAGCTGTAATGTTTGCATCGATGTTCATAATAGATATTAGACATTAGTTTTCTTTTCTTATAGTCCTCTTTCCTGACTCTGGTATGAGGATAATTCCAGCCTCAAAATGAGTTTAAAAATTGTTCCATCTCTTGATTTTTGGAAAAATTTGACAAGGATTGCTGTTCTTTAAATGTGTGTGTTTGGTAAATATCTCAACCTGGAGTTCTCCAAAACAGTCTTATCTGTAAGTAGGTAACTGACAAACGTAATCCTGTGGAAGAGGAATGAGTAAGAATGAAACTGGGCAAAAGGAAAAGCAAAACATAAATATGGTACAAAGTAGTCAACTATAAGAGAGGCATCTCAGAAGGATTTTCCTTGAAGATAGAAAAAAGAACACATTCAGGCCTTCACTGATAAAGTGGGGGCATCCAGGCATTAAATAGCCTGCACTTCAAGCTTGCACACACACATTAAAGAGTCCCATAGATTGGGGCTAGCCTGATGGCACAGCGAGTTAAGTTGTTGCCTGCAAAACCAGAATCCCGCATGGCTGCCAGTTCAAGTCCCAGCTATTCTACTTCCAATCCAGCTCCTTGCTAATGTGCTTGGGAAAGCAGCAGATAATGGCAAAAGTATCTGGGCCCCTCCAACCCATGTAGGAGACCTGGAAGAAGCTTCTGGCTCCTGGTTTTGCCCTGGCCCAACCCCAACCATTGCAGTCATTTGGGGAGTGAGCCAGTGGATAGATCTCTCTCTCTCTCTCTCTCTCTCTCTCTCTGTGTGTGTGTGTGTGTGTGTGTGTATGTGTGTATGTGTCTTCCTCTCCTATAACTCTGCCAAGGAAGGAAGAAAAAGACATTTCACAAATAAAATCTATGAATGACTAAAATTACACATTAAAAAAAGAGTCCCACGGACATCTCAAGCAGTGTCATCAAAGAGCCCCAGATCATGAAAGAAGAGGTGGAACCCTAGGCAGTATGTGGGGATGGTTCAAAGGGACAAAACCGAGAAAAGAGATTTGCAGAGGGCCTAACAGGTATGCAGTACCGCCCACACACAGGTCTCAAGAAAGTCCCAGGACAATGGAGGTGGAAAAGCAGCAGCCTCATCCCACAAGAGAAGGGAGCCAGCTGGAAAACCAAGGTACCTGGGGAGGTGCAACTCATCCTCAGGAGCTATGAAGTTTTCCTTTCTGAAAGCAAGACTAGCATCTACTGCACACCCACCACTGCTAATGAAGAAACAAGGCTGAGTGTGCTGGACCACACAAACAGGAATAACAGGGTTGGTGTAAAGTTCAGTCCAAGAAGTTAATGGAAGGGAGGTTTCTGTTGGAGTGAATGAGGCACCAGTTAGGGAAGGGCAGCAGGAAGCAACACAGGAAATGAGACAGGAATGTCTAGAACTGAGGTCAAGAATCAAGGGAGAACCTGAAAAACCCGCATTCCAAGCTGTTTTGGGTCATCCAGGGGCCTCTAAGGAAAACAGCATGATGCAGGACTGAGGGACAGGAAGCAGAGTCCTCTGGTGATGAGAATCCCGGGTGGTACAGCAGGATCTGTCCAGGCCTCCCTCTGTGGAGCATCCTGGAGGGTGGTTTTGTGGAGGAGATGAACCTGCACTCAACCCTGAATGAGAGCTACTGTGACACCAAAGACTGGAGCTTAGGCACGGTGGTGGCCTTGGCACCACCCTGGAAGGAGACAGCAGATCAAATGCTAGCAGAGGGAAGGCAATGGGTGGGGAAGGCGGTGGAAGCTTCCACTCCTTCTCGATGCATACCAGAAACCTGTCATAAGACAGTGAATCATTTTCAAGAAGCTGCTTTACGGAACTCTCCTCCCTTCCTCCCTTCATTCCACCCCTCACCACTCCCTTTTTCTCCCTTCACCTCTTTTATCCTTCCTTCCTTCCTTCAAGAACCCACTTATCTGTTCAGAAAAACAACCATTGCCCATTGACTGAGCCAGGCACTGTGTGAGAATCAACAGCTACAGACTTTGGTAAACAGGGGAATGGGGCTGATGGTGGTACTAATCCTGGGGTAACAGGTCCCTGGAGACAGCAAAGAGCAGTGGGAAGGGAAGAGCAACCTATGTACCTCAGTTTCAAGGATGCTGATATTTTCAAAGAGCCATAGTCACTCCAGGCGCAGGCGGTTACACACAGAGGGCAGCTCTGCACTGGAGACCTCAGGCTCGTTCCGTAATGGCTGATGCACAAAGTCAGGAATCAGAGCTCTCGTCTTCCTGTGACCCTCCAGAGACGACAGACACCGTTCAGGCCATGCCACTGTGTCAGACAGATCCAGTCAATCCTGACTGTCCATCCCAGTGACATCTACCAGCCCTGGTCAGTGTGGCACCTTAAGGCTTCCTCCAGAGAGACAAGTCATTTCCAAAGCAGGTGCTCTGGCCTTTCATCTCCACCCCTAGGTCCAGGTCCAGTGATAAATGGATGATTCACTTATTGCCACCTTCCCCATGATCACCCAGAAGAGCCAGAAATACCTACTGTTATCTTCACATTTGCTTCAAATATAAGAGACCCAGTAGGACGAATTTAGGCTAAAGATTAAGACCTGGGTCAGGAGCCATGACTCTTTCTTGTCCCATTAGTCTGGAAACTCCCTTGTGATTTTAATCCTTTGCCACCCTAGAAGCCTGTCACCCATATTGATGACCCCACAAGGGCGGACAGCGAGGACAAGCCCAGGTGACATCATTGCCGGACAGCAAGCATGAGAAAATAGTAAGCCAGAGCACAGAAACACCTGGAATTAGTCAGAACAGTCCCCCCAAATCCCTCTTCTTTAAGGCAGGGCTCATTCTCTGTATAAAAGTCCAGCAGGCCAGAGCCGCCTCACCAGAGCTGAGAAGCCGAGGAGCTCACACTTCTGAGGTAAGACTTCCCACCTGAAACTTCTCAATATTCTTGCCATAGTGGTTTGGTTTAGTTGGGACTTCTTGACTTCTAATGACATATTCAAGTGCAATTGCCATTTGTACTTAAGGTAATAAGGTAGATCTTTGTTGCTTCCAACTCAAATTATAGCTACAGGACTGCAGAGCAAAACAGGAGAGTTATTTATTCTTCAAAGAACATGGTTGAGTTTAACAAGAGGTTATGCACTGCCCACCACATCCAGGGCACTTTTCCTGGTATTTTGATTTCCCCCTCTAATTTCGTGGATGATTTTCGGTATCAAAACTCTGCATTTGACAGTTTGTGTGTTCAAAAGTTAAATTCTTCCCTACTCCATGAACCTGCGACCCATCACAGGATGGGATCCTTGGTCGCAACTTTCCAAAGAAGTAGCGTGAAGTGTTGTTGGTGGAGAGGTCACAGAGAGTGACATGTGGTATGGCCAGGTGAGGACAGTGACTTGGAACCTGGAAGGAAAGCCATGTTGGGTGGTCATGTGTGGAAAAGCACTGATATAGAAAACCTTCCTACAAAGCGTGTGCAGAGGATGCAGTGTGCTCAAGGGCTCAGAGGTGGGTCATGTGGGGCTCACAGGGATATGTACGGAGCTTCCTTTGGGAACTACAGCCCTCCATTTGGTGGACGTAAGTAGAGAAGCTACAGGCTACTGACTACATAGCCTTTCCAAATTATTACAAACCTGGGACCTCTCATCAATTCCGGGAAACTGCTCTCGGGCTCTCTTGCTAATGCAGACTTTTAGGTTCACCAGGAAAAAAGGAAACACTTAAAGGGACCATATTCCCATGCAACAGAACAAATCAATTTTAAGTTTCCTCTCTTGAAAGTACACAGAGATTATCAAAATTTTCTTAGGTACCAAATTCAGGAAATCAAAAGATGAGAGGCTCTCACTTCTCTTCTCAAGGGATACAAAGTCAGATTTACCTGGCACTGTGTTTGGCTTCATTTTCAATTCATTAAAGCACTGAATCAACTTTTCTTTCTCTAGGTCCTGCATCCTTTGCAGCATGAGTTCCTACCAGCAGAAGCAACCCTTTACCCCACCCCCTCAGCCTCAACAGCACCAGGTGAAACAACCCTGCCAGCCTCCACCTCAAGATACGTTTGTTCCCATAACCAAGGACCCATGCCACCCAAATGTTCCAAGTCCCGGGAACACCAACATTGCAGAGCAAGGCTACGTCAAGATCCCTGAGCAAGGCTCCATCAAGGTTCCAGACACTGGCTACACCAAGATCCCTGACTCTGGCTGCACTAAGGTCCCTGAGCAAGGATACACAAAGGTCCCTCAGTCTGGCAACACCAGTGTCCCTGGGTCAGGCTACTCCGTGGTTCCTCAGCCTGGCTACACCAAGGTCCCTGACCAAGGCTACACCAAGGTCCCTGAGTCAGGATGCACCAGTGTCCCTGGGTCAGGCTACTCCGTGGTTCCTCAGCCTGGCTACACCATGGTCCCTGAGTCAGGATGCACCAGTGTCCCTGGGTCAGGCTATTCCGTGGTTCCTCAGCCTGGCTACACCAAGGTCCCTGAATCAGGATGCACCAGTGTCCCTGGGTCAGGCTACTCCGTGATTCCTCAGCCTGGCTACACCAAGGTCCCTGAGTCAGGATGCACTAGTGTCCCTGGGTCAGGCTACTCCGTGGTTCCTCAGCCTGGCCACTTGAAGGTTCAAGAGTCATCTCCCTCCATAGTCACTCCAGGCCTGTCTCAGCAGAAGACCGCACAGAAGTAACGTGCTGACATCCTTGTCCTTGAGGAACCGACCACCAGCTGCTGCACACCTCTTCCCATCTTCTCCATGCTTCAACTGTCTCTATATCTTGTAATCAGAATGTTTACTGATGGGAACATTCTCTCTCTTATTTGTACCATAAAGATAGGTACTCTGAATCATTCCTTTGCACACTCTGAAGTTCTCTGAGCCTCTAGAATAAGAAATTCTTAGTGGTTTTGCTGGTCTTCAGCTGCTCAGGATTCATCTGAAGGGGGATTCTGGATGAGAAGAAATGCTCCCTACATTTCCTCCATTAAACTGCTTTTAACTTCACTCTTGGTTGTGTGTGTCATTGGCTGAATCTTCCCCCTTCCTTGTTCTCCCATTGTAAATCAGGACATGTGGACAGAGAGGACTTGGCATAGAAGTCACCGATGTAACTCCAAAACTGCACTTCTGTGAGGGTGAGGAGTTTCACTTAGGAGGCAATCATGGGATAGTAATGGATGTTGCACCATGGTACCCAAATCCTGTGACTCTGGGAGCTACGGCCGAATCAAGGCTTTCTTCTTACACTAAATTCAGTCATGTTGAAACCCTGTAGTGCCTGCTCCAGGACAACTCTGATCCTCAGTGTCTTACATACAAGTCTCTTCTTCACCTCAAAATATTATTCCACTTTTGTAAAAAATCAGTTTTCTGCATATATGTGGTTCCATCTCTGGGTTCTCTGTTCTGTTCCATTGGTCTTTGTGGAGAAAGGAAAATCTCTTCCATAAACGGTACTGACAAGACTGGATGTATATATGTAACAAAATAAAATTAGAGCTCTACATCCCACCATATAAAAAAAAAAAACTCAAGTTAAATCAAACACCTGAATTTAAGACCTGAGACTATAAAGTTCCTGGAAGGACACCTCAAGACAGGGGAACACTTCAAGACATCAGTGTAGGTGTTGGCTTCTTGAATAAGACTCCCAAAGCACAGGCAACAAAAGAAAAACTAAATAAATTGGACTATATCAAACTCAGCAGCTTCTGCAGAGCAAGGGAAACAATAGAGTGAAGAGACAGCCAACAGAATGAGAAAAGGATTTGCAAGCTATCTACCAATAAAAGTATTAATATCCAGAATATATCAGCAACTTAAAAAACTCAACAACAACAATAATAAAAACCAACAAATCCAGTTAAGAAATGGGCAATGGACCTCAGTCAAAATACAAATGGCCAACATATATATGAGACATTGGTCAACATCAATAGTCATCAGGAAAATGCAAATCAAAACTGCAGTGAGATATCACCACAACCCTGTCAAATAGCTATTATAGAAAAGACAAAAAGTAATGAATTCTGGTGAGGATGTAGAGAAAGGGAAACTCTTATATACTATCAGTGGAAATGTGAATTAGTGCAGCCACTGTGGAAAATAGTGTATATATATATACATATACATATATATGTGTATATATATATATTTAAAAACTATAGATAGACATGCCATATGATCCAGCAATACCACTAGTGGGTATATACCTAAAAGACACAAACACAAAGAGATACCTTCTCCACCATGTTTATAGCAGCACTGTTCCCAGTAGCCAAAACATGGAATGAACCAAGGTGTCCATCATTAGATAAGTCATCATCAGAATGGATAAATAAAACGTGATATGTGTATATATATATATATATATACACTATGTATGCAATGCAATATTATTCAGCTATGAAAAAGAATTGAAATTCTATCATTCACATCAAAATGGATGCAGCCGGGTACATCACGTGGAGTGACATAAGCTGAGCACAGAAACACAAATGCCATATGTTCTCACTTATAGGTGAGAGCTAAAATTCAAAAAGAAAATAAATAAACAAAAAACAAAGAAATACACAGAGATAGAGGAGAGTGGCAAGATGGTGGAATAGGAAGGGAGCACACTGATATTCCGGGAAGAGACAGTTTAATAAAAGTGGAGATACTGCAGGTTCAAGGAAGAGTAGGGGAAGAAACAGCAGAGGAAACTCTTCCGGAACTAGTGATTCACAGTGGACCTGCGTGGAGAGCGTGGGAGCCCATGGTTCGGGACACCAGTGGCAGAATCAACACACCAGCACTGGAACGCGAGGTGAGCTGAACCTCAATAGCCTAAGACACCGGTGGGCAAGCAGAAAGAGACTAGAGGGAACAAGGCGTGAAACCCCATGGGGAAAAGTTCACCAGGCTAACTAGAAGAGAGAGGAAAAAAAATTGACCAATATGGACACGAGTTTCTCTCTCTCTGCTCACCTCTCAAAGGTGAGCAAGACAAAGAGCAGGTGCCATTCTGGACATACATTATAAGCGGAGTGACCTCAGGGCTGCGCCCACCCTCAGCCAAGCAGAAAAACCTGACTCTGGCGGGGGGGGGGGGGGGTGAAATAACAGGAGATTAGGACCTAGTGAATGTGTGGTGTTAATGAACTGAGACTGTGAAAAAAGAAACGGTGGGTGAGAGAACTCACGGAATTCACGTGAGTACTCTCCAGAGATGCTACAATTCGGTAACCTTGGCAACCCGGTGGGAGACTGCAGGAGAATTTGAGCCTACACTGAGGGCAGCACAGATACCCTATGTGGTCCTTAGGAAAGAGTTTCCAATCTCTGGCTCCTGTGGGTATATCATTCGCCTGCTAACTACCTTCAATTCCGCTCAGCTGTGCAGAATTACTTCACTTTTGAATCAAAAAAAAAGAAAGAAAGAAAGAGAGAGAGATTTACCACACCTAACCTGGGAGTGTCACCTTTGGCACACCCTTAACCCTGAGGAACCAGAGCTCTCAGGCCACACCCATCTCAAGCCTCTAAGGCTCCATCAAAAGCAGACAGTCCACTTAATACAGAGTATAACAAGAAAAAAACACCACAGCGAGGGAAGAAGAATCCAAAGAATTTCAATAAATTGAAATCCAAAGGATTTCAATAAATTTATGATAAGAACAATTAGAAGTTTCCAAAAACAAATGCTTGAGCTATGGAAATCCTGACTGGACAGGATAGAAAATCTCCTTTGAGAAAGTGAAATCTTAAGGAGGAATCAAAATGAAACGCAGAAACTAGTAGAACAGGAAAGTGTGATAGTGAAGAGAAATCAAAATGAAATGAAGAACTCAATAGATCAAATGACAAAAACATTAGAGAGCCTTAAAAACAGAGTCAGTGAAGCAGAAGAGAGAATATCGGACTTAGAAGACAGAGCACAGGAAAGTTTACAGTCAAACCAAAGAAAAGAAGAGGAAATTAGAAATCTAAAAAATATTGTTGGGAATCTACAAGATACTATTAAAAAGACCAACATTCGGGTTCTAGGAATTCCTGAAGAGAGAGAGAGAGAAAGGATTGAAGGCCTTTTGAGTGAGATACTTGCAGAGAACTTCCCGGGTTGGGAGAAGGACAGAGACATCCTAGTACAGGAAGCTCATAGAACCCCTAGTAAACATGACCAAAAGTGATCCTCACCACAACACGTTGTAATCAAACTCACCACAGTGAAACATAAAGAAAAGATTCTAAAATGTGCAAGAGAGAAACGTCAGATTACTCTCAGAGGATCTCCAATCAGACTCACAGCAGACTTCTCATCAGAAACCCTACAGGCTAGAAGGGAATGGCAAGACATAGCCCAGGTACTAAGAGAGAAAAACTGCTAGCTCAGAACATTATATCCTGCAAAGTTCTCATTTGTGAATGAAGGTGAAATAAAGACCTTTCATAGCAAACAGAAATTGAAAGAATTTGTCGCCACTCGTCCAGCCCTGCAAAAGATGCTTAAAGATGTGTTACACACAGAAACACAGAAACACAGTCATCAGTATGAAAGAAGGTAAAGGAAGGAAACCTCACAGCAAAAGATCACAGGAAGATCAAAGCATATATTAGAAAATATCGCTGGGAAATGGCAAGGCAAAGTAACTACTTATCATTAGTCACGTTGAACGTTAATGACCTGAACAGTCCAGTTAAAAGAAACAGATTGGCTGATTGGGTTAAGGAACAAAACCCATCTATTTGCTGCTTACAAGAAACACATCTTTCCAACAAAGATCCATACAGACTGAAAGTGAAAGGCTGGAAAAAGATATACCATGACAACAGAAATGAAAAAAGAGCAGGCATAGCCATCTTAATAACAGACAACATAAACTTTAACACAAAAACTGTTAAGAGACACAAAGAGGGACACTATATAATGATTAAGGGATCAATTCAACAGGAAGATATAATGATTATCAATATATATGCACCTAATTACAGGGCACAGGTTTATTTAAAAAATTTGTTAAGGGACTTAAAGGGAGACTTAAACTCCAATACAATAGTACTGGGGGACTACAATACTCCACTCTCAGAAATAGACAGATCAACAGGACAGAAGATCAGCAAGGATACAGCAATTTTAAATGACACTATAGCCCAAATGGATCTAACAGATATCTACAGAACTTTTCATCTTACACATAAAGCATTTGCATTCTTCTCAGCAGTACATGGAACCTTCTCTAGGATTGACCACATACTAGGCCATAAAGCAAGTCTCAGCAAATTCAAAAGAATTAGAATCATACCAGGCAGCTTCACAGACCATAGAGGAATGAAGTAAGAAATTAGCAACTCAGGAATCCCTAGAGCATATGCAAACACATTGAGATTGAACGACATGCTCCTGAATGAAAAATGGGTCATAGAAGAAATCAAAAGAGAAATCAAAAATTTTCTGGAAGTAAATGAGGATAACAGCACAACATACCAAAACTTATGGGATACAGCAAAAGCAGTGTTAAGAGGAAAGTTTATAGCAATAGGTGCCTACATCAAGAAATGCAGAGGCACCAAATAAATGAGCTTTCAATTCATCTCAAGGATCTAGAAAATCTGCAACAAACCAGACCAAAATTTAGTAGGAGAAGAGAAATAATTAAAATCAGAGAAGAAATCAACAGGATTGAATCCAAAAAAAATTACAAAAATTCAGCCAAACGAGGAAGCTGTTTTTTTAAAAAAATAAACAAATAGAAACCCCATTGGCCCAACTAACTAAAAAAAGA